TGCATCACAAAAAACAGCCACTCCACAACAGGGAATGTGTGATTCCTGGGTTTTTTGAAGCCATTCCTCCAACCTCATGTGTCATTAAAGGGCAAGATGGATATTGAATCCATGAGCAAGGTATGTTCTCGCAAAAGCCCTCATTTTGCTGTTCATGTGTCTGTAGCCAGTTACAGATCATCTAAACTAGTGGTTTTCTTTCTTTTTGCCTGCTTGCATTTTGCCAACAGTGAAGGCGCCAGACTGCTCCTGTGAAGGCACAAACTTGACCATATTACCGGGCAAACCAGTGATTTTAATTACCATCAATGGTAAGAACAATTCACTATTTAGATTGCTATTGTAGATTTGATGTTTTTCATACTAGTGTTCTGTAGCATTGTGCTTACAATTGCAGTCCTGTCAAAATCTATGGTATATCACATGGTATTGTCATTAGCCAACACGGCTGTTTGTAATTTGATGATTTAGACAAATGTAAACAATGTGTGATACTACTCAAGAAGTCTGGTTTGAGTTGCCGGGGTTATAGGAACTTGTGCAGTGTCTCTCAACCATTCACAATGTGCAGAATTACCTAACTGTTTTAAATGGAAGTGAACAATCAGTGTCAGGTTCATACAGAATTTGAAGCAGGAATTTTGTTCCCCGATGTTTTCCTTTTCTTCTGTTAAGTGGATTGAAGAATAAATTCCATTTCACTTTGGTGAGCCATTAAACATGCAGTAAGAATATTCCAGTTCTGTAAGTTTTCTCTCACTTTTGTGATAGTAAATTACACAAAATGTTGCTAACAATTCCAGATTATGTGCAGATTATGAGGAAAAAAAAAAACTTTTAGAGAGCAATGGAATTGTCAGACATGCTAAATAGTCATGCCTATTATAGCCTCAAGTCACTATACAAACACTAGGCGCGTTTCCATTACAGATTTGCGCAAAACTTTGGCGATACTTTATAAATGTCGATAAAAAAAGTATTGCGAAATGACGGCGTTTCCAT